TGAGTTAGAGAGTTCCGGGCTGTAGGTGAATGGTGTGAACAACTGCAAATACCTTCCCTTGGAGAGTGTGAATGGGTAATTGGTGCGTTTACACAGCAATTACAGGAGGACAATGGACTGGCTCAAAATGCTAATTTGTCTCCAGGATTATTTTTTGTCAGTAAAGCTAGTGTTAAGCACGAATCAATGTCTGGTAAGTTCTCTATCCCATTTAAGTTTGTAATGTTTGTAATGAAGTATATATATTTGCTGAGCGTAGGTTTTATTGAAAGAACAGGAAACACATTGTTATCTATAAATGTACATGAATTTGCCTGTTAATGTGTGGATATTTTCTGGTCACCAATATGGGGCAGATAATAGACGATATAGCAAAATGTTTAAGCAATACTATGAATTGGGAAATCTATAAGAGATACAATTAACTTTGGTTGTGCCGTTTTACAGACCATTACATCGGATAGCCCGAATCGGAGACGGAGTGAAAGTCTGAAGAAGTTTTTTATATTCATCTGCATCATTACAGTTGTTGTGATACTGACTAAGGTAATGAGCATTTAATTTAAATTAAACGGTACTCATCTTCGTTTCAAATTCAAAATTATTATTTTTAGTGTAACGCCTACAAGGAACGAAGCATACAACCAAAACGATATGAATATCTTTTTTTTCACCTAACTTAAAGTAAAACTATTACCATTTGTAATTGATCTCATCAAAACAACTTTTCGGTGGTTATAAAGAAGCCAGTGTAAGCTTAGTGCAGTTTCTTACTGCATTTTCCAGTGATATCTTAGATTGTTCGGTAATACACCGAGGAGAAGTTTGGATATTCGACAAATATTCATATCCACACTCTCCAGACCTAGCGGCAAAGTTTTACTCACGCAAGACGGCATATCCTGATAAAGAACTGCGAGTTCAATTCTACAGCATTCCGTATGATCGTTTACCGCTGATTTAGGGACCGTCAAGTTATTACTGCCAGAATAACAAGATACTAATGGCTTGCGATAACTTCCATGCCATCGGATCCAGTGACTTCAAAATAGTGGAAATTTTGAAATACATGAGACACACTGG